ATTGACATGTTTAATGAAATGGCATTAGTTGTTGGATAAGATATGGCAACTAGGAGCTTCGCCAAATCATTTGCTGATATATATTTTTAGACTAATACTGAAGCTAATGCAATGCCTGATGACTTGGACAAGGATGTTGATGAAGAAGTGAGAGGGAGGCAGTCATTTTCATCAATGGAAACTTCATTACCATGATTTGGAAGCAAAAGATCGTGCAGTCAATTTTTTGAAGATGATAGCATAATAATCATGTTAGAAAAATTGGAAGAGATTGCGTCTGCTATCAAAAGGCTAAGTGATGACAAAATTGATGATGGTCTTCTTTATGCTCAAGTGATGAACATGGATGGATATGATGAGCACTTTCTTATCTCTGCATTTGCTTATTTAATGGAGTATGAGAAGCTAGCAAGGGCATTTATGGTCAGGAGCAACAATCTAAAAGGAGTTTGGCTAGACAAATTCATGTTTCACGGGATTAACGATTAGATTTTATGATTTGCAGGATATTTGTTGAATATTTGTAAGAAGCTCAATTATATATGTAGGAACCATAATGTAGGATGACTAATTATATTCCTAGTAAGGTTTATGAAGGATGATTAATTATATTACTAGTAAGTTTATGTAGAATGATCAATTATATTACTAGTAGGTTTTATTATTTTGGATAATATTTGTAAGATGTTTGTTAGATATTTTTCAGATGGTTTTAATTATATATGCAATACGAATTTGTAAGATGATTAATGATATGTGTTATTATTAATGTAGAATGTTTTTATTTTGCAAGATTATTAATTTGATAGATGCATAGATTTTTAGGTATTTTATTATTATATCATATTTTTTATATTGAAAATTAAATTTTAGAGGTTATATACAATTAATGAATATTAATATTTTCAAACTTCTAAGATGTTAGAGAATTGGTATTTATATAATTTATAAAATTTTAGTGATGGGGAAAATATTTTCAAAAAAATGTTCCAAATAACCAAAAATATTTTCGACAATTTATCCAAATAACAGAAAATATTAAATTTTTCTGTAAAATATTTTACACAAAATTTTTTTTCCCTCATTAGCTTATTTTACTGTTACCAAACGGAGCCTCAGTTTTCTCTTAATTTTTTTCTCTTGTTTATTCTCATAAATTTTAGATGATAAGATAAATTGCAAATGAGGTATTCCAGAAATTTCAAATTTTATGTGTTTAAGAAGAAATATATTTTTGGTTGTTGGATGAAGTAAAAAACTTTGAAAACACTCATTTTGGAAATTTTATGAGATTTGTGTACCTTTATATGGCTATCATAAAAAAATATATATTGACATGTAAGTAAACAAGCTCATATTTTGAATTTAGTTGATTTTTATTCATTTGGTTGTCAAGGATTTCTTTTTATATTATTAATAAATTTAAGAAATGAGATTGACACAGCAATTAGCCTTGTCAAATAGATAAACCAGTATAAATGTCATTTCACCTAAAAGTGAACCTCTCACAAAATAATTAGCTCTTGAATTTGGGCTTTATAGTTGATTTCCTCCCTTAAGCAATATCATTGCTAAGTGTTGGGTTTATAGTTATAGATTGCTATTTGATCCATGAGGAAGAGATTTAATTAAGCATGACATGAAGTGAGTCTTAAATTACAATAGCAATATCCATCTTAAAAGATAAGGGTAATTTTTTAATATTTTTTTATGTCAATAACTTTTGAGTTATGCTATTTAATTTATTACTTTTGTTCTAAATATTTTTATCCATTGACATGGTTTTGGATGAATTTAAATTATAATCAAACTAATAAGTTATTATTATATCATAAAACAAAAAGTGTTAGGATTAATAATATTTTTCATAATTTTTTTAGTACGATAAATTCTAAATTAATTAGTGGACCATATCTGGCTTTTCTGAAAAAAAAAGAGTGAATTATAACTTTTGTTTGGAATAATAATTAATTTAAGTAAGGTGATATGAATAAATAATTAATGCCATTTATTTGGCTAAAAATAGATTTTTGCTTGGCAATGGGGTAATTTGGTAATTTCATAACTTTTAGGGCTTCCTTTCTGAATGCCAAGTGTCAAGCAAGGCTTAGTTATAGATGACATATATTTATTTAATTTATTAAAAGTTAATATAAAATTATTTTTATTATTTTAATGATAATAGTATATTATGTAAAAAGATGATTGGCTAGATTTTAGCTTTAAATTTTAAAAATATAGCTTGGTCACACCATTCCATCTCGGCCCAAATTACGGGCCTAGGCCAGTGGGCTCGGTTTGGCTCATGCCATGCTTGAGCATAAGGTTTAGGCTTTAGCCTGGCTCAATTAGATTATTTTATCTATCTTTTTTTTATGTCCCAAAACTATATCCCCTTTTTTCCTGACTTTCTTTCTTTCTTTTTTTGTTAACTTTTTGGTATTAAAAATCATGGTACGTCAATTAAAATAAAAATAATTTAAGATTTTAATATAAAATATACTGAAGTCAAAGGTTTTTATTTTTGTAAAAACTTTATTAAAGTCAAATAGGTACAAGCAAAATGGAACGAAAGAAATAATATATTTTTATTTAATTTCAATACTAAAATATATTTTGAAAAAATTAAAAAATTAAAATGAAATAAATTAAATATTTTAATAATAAAACAAATTAAACTTGGCTTTTTAAAAAGAGAGGTCTAACCCAATCCATGGATATCTCTAATAGTTTCAAAGGCACAATGTAAAAGTTAGAATATGAGACTCTATCTTAAAATTTTCGTGTTTGAATTTTGAGATAAAATTTATAAGATGAGAAAAAAAATTATGTTTCATTGTGTAACACAAAAAATTCTTATATGCTTGTAAAAGAAATCAAAAAATTTAATGTCGGCAGTTAAATGAAGGCCTTTGATTGGGCCTCAGAATGAGTTCAACATTCACAAGGAAGGCCTAGGAACATTAGCAATAAAACCCTAATTCTACATAATGGAAATGGAATTGCCCAAATACTCTTTTGAGTAGTGATTTTTTAATTGTTGATCCAAATTTAGAGTATAAAAAATCATATAAAAACCTCTCTTGGCCAATATGATAAATTCTAAATTAAGTTGAGATGTTGAATAAATAAGAGAAAAATACACAATTGATTTGAGAATTCTATATCCATACAAATCATAAACCATGTCAAAAGGGAGTAAAATGATACATGGCCCAAAGCCCCTAGCCAGATTCTTGAATTAGTTAAAAGGAAATATGTAGCAATAGAAATTTGATAGTGAAGCGACCGAAGTAATTACTTGAAGAAGAATTATTAGACCAAAAAATGCAAAATAGAAACTTGAATAAGAATTTGTGTGGAGAAACAAGTCCATGAGAAAGCATTTAAATCTGTCTCTTAGTCAAATCTTATAGAAGAAAGTTTTTTTTTTTTGGAGTAGTTATAAAAGAAAGTTTTAATAACAAAAGATTCTCTAAATTATATCAGTTTATCACTTGAGCCCCTAGCCTTCTATTGTAAAAAAAAAAAAAAATTGTACCTAAAAAACTTCTACTCTTTTATTGTATCCACATAAACCTTTAATTTGTAACAAAAAATCAATGATAGTTAGAATCAATGCTAGTTGGAATTGTCAATTCATTTGGCATAAGATGTTACATCTATGATATGGTCACGTGATAGTTCAAGTAAATTTTTTAAAATTTTCTTTCACACTTGTCACGCCATTAAGACACGTGAATAGAAAATGCTAGTTAGTTTTAAGTCTAAAGAAGGTTGATTTTTCATTACCGATTAAGGTCTTGTATGAGGATAATAAAAAAATAGAATATTTGGAGTACAAATTAAAGGATAAGAATTTTTTTGGTACAATAAAAATAAAGGGACTCAATTGTATAAATTGACATAAGTCAGGGAATTTTTTTGTTACTTAAACCAAAAAAATATTATTTACTTGGTCCAATGTGTTGCGGGGAAAAATGCTAACATGGTAAGATATTATTGAATGGCTTATAATACTGACGTGATTGGAAGAATTTATCTAGTAATTTCTCCTAAATTCAATCTCTTTAAAATTTGTTATTTATTCTTCTTTATCTAATGTTATTTATTCTTCTTTATCTAATGAAGGTATCAGTTGCTGGTCCCTCTTGCCCTTGGTGTAGGTATGTAGGATGATGGACGGGGTGTTAGTTCAAGGAATTGCTAGCTCTTTGTTTTGTTGGTGGTGTCCGCTTCTGTTCTGGACTCTTCTTCGCCTCTGGCACTGTTGAGTCTTTGTGGAATGCCTCCTTGGTGTTTCTCATGTCTGGAAGAATGGATCCGGGGCTATAGGAGGGTTCTCTGATGAGCTAAGGAAGGGCGTTTTGCTGTGTGCCTCTCAAAAGTAGGCAATAAGGAGGATGAGTCTGGTGAGTTTTTCCATATCCAGCGTCTTGATTTTGCTGTCCTCTTGTGGAAGAAGTTCGATTTTTCGTGCATCTTGATCCAAGGGGTTTTATATATGGCATGTATTTGATACCCGCTTGTGCTGTTGAGGAGCTGCTCTCGCCCAAGCTTTTGGTTGTTTCTAATAGTCATCTTTTTGATCTGTTCGTAATGTTGGGTTTCCTGTCCTAGGCTGGGGATCTTGGGTTTGTTTTGTCTTTCTTGAAGGATTGTACGGAGGCTGTTTTTTCGACCTTTTTAACTAAGTAGGTGAATCTTCATGGGTGGTTTTGGGTACATTTTCCACTTTCAGGCCCTTTCTTGATCAAAGGGCGCTGCATTGTTGGTGCATAAGTGGTTGATGATTTATGCTGCTAATATGTTTTGAGTGGCAACAATCTTTTGTAATTGTACAGTTTCTCAAAGTCTTTACCATCTCTTTGTGTCATGAAAAGTCTTTTGCAGATCATGCTAGAGACTTGATGATGGCAAAATGGTAAAGAAGGCTAATGAAAGCAACACTGTGCAAAAAAAAAAAAATTCTTGAGAGTCAAAACTCAGAGACCACAAGCAACAATTAATTTCTTAATTATATTGGATATAGAAAATTATTTACAGAAAACCATACTGGAAATTAATTGTAATAATTCTTCACAGAATCAATGAGAGATCTATGTATACCGATTGCTGCAACACTTCCCCATCTTCAACCTATACCCTAGGGCTCCCATCAACTGTTAAACAAACAAAACATGAAAGATAGATCATCCAAATACTCCAAACAACAAATCACAGCAAAGATCAAGCTATAGTTGTGAAAGCAAAGTTAATTAATTAATAGCTTAAGAAGAAATGCTTTTATGTAGTTCTAGCTGATCTAGTGTGGCACCTTCCTCTAACAGCAGATTGAATGAGCACCTGCCCAACACCTTCTCCAATCCCTTCAATCAGCCCTCCGATGAAATCAATCATCACTCTAGAAGCGACCTTAGCTGCAGCCCCTAGCATGCTGGGCTTCTCCGTGCCTTTGATGCCATTGGCTTGAAGTCCATTCACCATGTTCTTAGCGCAAACTGCATGGAGATGATAATTGCAGACGGTGCAATGGTACACCCTCCCCGATCTCCGCCTGTTGCACTCGCCGCAGACGAAGCCAGGGTCCCCGTTGGAAGAGTACTGGGACACGGGCAAGAGCCTTAGAGTGTGTGGGTGGACTGAGATGTTGATTTCGGTGGACAACATTGCACAGCATGGGTGCATCTGGAAACTGCAGACAGTGCATTTGAAAACGCATCCTTTGGTGGTTTTGGCGCAGACATCGCACCTCGATTTTAATATTCCGCTTTTAACTAAAAAATCGAATATTTATTGCAAAGCAAAGTTATTATTGACTCCTTCATAAAGTTATAATCAACATCAAGATATATGAACAAAAAATATAAATTAACTGCTTGTCAGCCCTCCCATGTCAATTTTTTTCAGTTGATTTTTTCTGATTCTTTTGACAAGGAGAAATTAATTAGCATGCATGTTTTATTTTATAATGTAGATTCACATTTGTTTTCTTTTTAATGTTTCATTTTCTTCTAGTTTTTTATTATAAAAAAAAATTGTCAAACTGAGTGTTATAAATTTGATTGATGTGTGGACTGTATGCATCATTTTTCTCCAATTTGAAAGAAAAATGCATATTTGGTGATACCAACTTTAATTAAGGATGATTCTGATAAATCATAGAAACAAAATTTAATATCTTTTATGGCTGACTTCGCTGAACCAAAGCTTTTCAATTAAGCAGGATAACTAATATCTTCATTGTTGGCTGAAAAAAGAAGAAGAAGATGAAATTAATTATAAAAGAATTATTAAAGGAAAACTGAAAAAAAATAGCTTCTGTTGTTTGATGAAAATGGAGCATCTTACCATTGTCGATATACGCTATGATTGGAATTTCTTTTAATTTTTTGGTTCAAAGTCTTTGGAATCTTTGGGGACGATGTACATAGCCTTTAATTACTAGCTATTGTATTTTTTTTTTCTTTGGCCTATTCTCTTCAACCTTCATTGGACGTAAGTGATCATTTGAAGTACTCTAAAGCTTATTTGGATATCTCTCTGTAAATGGCTGAGTGCAAAGCTTGGAAAATTTAGTTATTTTCTTAATGGAAATACCAGGAATCTGGTTTGGAAATTTAGAGGTTGTAGAGCCTTGGAGTTTGCTTTTCTTTGAAAATAGAAAACAATTGTGACATTGAAGTTCATTATGGGTATCTAATATGGCAGCAAACAAAAAATATTTAACTCTGAATTATTTGAATTTGAAATATTAAATTTTTGCTTTTAAAATTTGTATTATTTATAAAAACAAATCATTACTCTGTCTTTTTATTTTCGAATTCAAATTATTCAACACATTCTATATATATATATATATATATATATTAGGTTTTCTAGAAATTATATATTCCCGCAACGAAGGGTGCGCGGGCTATATAGTAGTATTATTATATACTTACAACTGACGAAGAAAGGGGAAGAAAAAGACAGAGGAATAGTAGTTACCAGGTTTTGGAAAGAAAATGATCTTGTGTACGGGATGGATGGGATGCCTCTTAAGAGCTGGAGGAGCTAAGGCGCAGAAGTCATGAAGCTGATAGTCACAATCGGAGCATGTGAAGCGCTTGCCTGCGCCGTACTCCTTACAGGCCGAGCAGGTGAAGAGGTCAGGAAGGTTAGTTTGGGAGATGGGGTGCTGCGGGTGGGCGAAATGGAAGATTTCTTCTCCCAGCTGGGGAGCCCGAGGGGAGGTGGGGAATTCCACCTGATGAGGAGACGGTTGGTCCATGGAAGGGGACTTGTATTTTGAGGTACATGAATTGGTCTTCTTCAAGGATTTGCTGCTCATCATCATCCCTCTTTATGCTCGTCTAGTGCTGTAATTTGCAATGACTGATGGCGAATATTTATGCTGAAAAAAGTTGGCACTATTGGGGCTTGAAAAAGAGGAAGGGGCGGTTTATAAGTTATTCACAAATGGGAGATTTATTATTACTTTTTATATAATTATTAATTATTCACTATAGTTTGTTTTGTTCCATTACATGTAAAGCAGAATTCAATAATAATAAATAGAAGAAATTATGAAAAATAACTTTTTTTAATAAGAATATTTTAAAAATAATCATCAAAATAAATTTAACAGTTTTTAATCATATTTAGTGATGATTTGATAAAAATACTCTTGAAACTATTTTATATAAATTAAATCATTAATCATAATTTCTCTCAATTTGTGCTTCCGATTTCTTTTTTTCACCATCCCATTCTCTCTAATTTTATCGATTTCTCTCTTTGACATTTGTCTGCTATGCTTTCGATTTCTTTCTCCCATGTTTTCAAATTTTTCTTTCCTACACTTTCAAGACACCAAGCGATAGTTTTGATGTGCTTGGGTGGATGGTTATTTAAAAATTTTAATTTTTAGATATTTTGGATAAAACTAAAATAGTGAAAATAATCACAGATATTTAAAATAACTTTTAATTAAATCAATTTGAGACCTAAACACTAATTAACTCAAAAATTTGAAATTTATAAACTTACGTTTTCAAAAGAAATTTGTTTTTCGATTTTTAGTTGAAATAGATGTTTTAGATAAGAAAATTTGTATTTTGATTTATGAAAACATGTTAGAAACACTTCAATTGGTACCAAATTATCCAAAAAATTTAAAAAAAATGAAGAGAGTTGAAAGGATTTGAAGTTTTGGTTCGTAAGTAATAAAAGTATTTTAGGTATTAAAGTGTAATAAAATGTTTTTGAATATGTCGTGTAATAATAGTATTTTTTCAACATAGCGTGTAACAACAATTTTTTTTATCAATATTACGTATAACAACCTTTTTTAACCAAGACATGTAACATGTTTTTATATATGATGTGTAACATGTATTTGTACATAGCGTGTAATAACAATATTTTTTTTCAACTTGACGTGTAATAACCTAACCATGGCATGTAACATATTTTTGTACATGTCATATAATAATAGTATTTTTTTTCAACATGACGTATAAGAACCTAATCATAGCATGCCACATGTTTTTGTATATGATATGTAACATCATGGCATGTAATTTCATTAATAGTAATTTTGTTCAACTTGGCTAAAATTAATTAAAATTATAAAGAGAGTTATTTTTAAAAATATTTTATTTTTAAAGATTTTTTTTTAAAAATACCCCATAATAATATCTACATATTGGTTTTATTCAAGATTACGTTGTTAATTGATTAATACAGATCAATGAGTACAGTTATTCATCATGTTTCACACTTCTAAGTCCAAAAAGTTTAATAATAATAATAATTAACGAAAATATTTAATTATTTCATGGTAAAATTAATTAATTAAGTTTTATACTCTAGTATAATTTTATGTATATTAATATTTTGCTTAATAAACCATAAAAAATGAATGTTGTCCTTTATATAACCTCATATACATTATAAATATTAGTTTTACATTTGAAAAGTTGTTATAGGAGAACTAGTATATCAAATTAATATAAACAATTATTTAATTTTCTTTTTTCAATTAAAACTAGATAACGAACCATTCAAAATAAAACTAATTAATGTAGTTGTTTCAGAAATGATCCCTGTACCAAAATTTTCTGTGCTATAAGGAGAAATAATAATATTTGATTTTCAGACGTAAAAGAAGAAAAAGTATATAAAGGAACAAAAAAAAAAAACAGATAAGGTTGTTTTTGATGGGGTTCCTATTATTTCCTTTTCAAGTATTCATATTTTCACTTGACGATTAGGTAATTTATAATAGTTTTATGTGTGGCTTAAAATTTAATATTGAAAGTTACTATTGTCATCTTACCAAAGGATAATCTTTCCTTAATTTGGAATCATTTTTGGTGTTATATATATATATATATATATATATATATGTACATCTGCAATTACTAGATTAATTTGTAAACAATATTTTCACACATATAATTGTGTGGCATAGATTGCATTTTATCCTTGTTGCATCCCACCACAAATACGATTAAGAACTAAAAATAGCTTTTGAAGTTACTAGATCAATTATATGATACCAATTAAAATGTACCTGCAGTTAATTTTCTTAGGATTTTAAATTCAAACTATAGGTTTTTTTTTTAATTTGGGGAAGGGGGATTCGAACCCTGCTCTTCAGATAAGTGGATAATGTATCAATTAGTTGTTCTGACACCACTTCAAACCTTTACTTTAAAGTTTTAAATCTAAACTATGATTTTTCTGATACTAATTTAAAACTTTATTTCCAATGTTCTAGACTTAAAAATCTTGAAACTCATGGTTTTTAGAAAACTCAATTTCTCAAACACAACTACAATCAATTATATAGATATAATTCGATCAAACTACTTATAGTCTATAATATATTATCAAATGAGAATGTTTAGGATTTAAATCGTACGAATTATAAATTTGAATGGTATGATTACACAAATTTGAAAAAACACATAGGACTTAACATGCAATCATAATTAATTCATGTAATCAAAAATACCATCAGTTAAGCTTCTTAAGATTTGAAATCTAAATTATGGTTGTTTTGATACCAATTAAAAACTTTACGTATAGCAAATTATACTTGTCTACGATACGATCTGCCATAATAAAAATTTAAAATATACAAAAAGGTATATGATTTATTAGTGAAAATAACATGATCGTCGGTCTAGCTGCCAAAACTCCATGCATTAAAATCTTCCTCTCATTTTCTACAACTCCCTAATAGGTGAAAAACTTAATCTGTCATATAGGAGAAAAAACCTAACATTTCTTTTTGTTTAGTGAATCCCTAGTCTTATCCATCATAAAGTTTTTGAAGTTTCCTACACAAGTCTACAATATTAAGTCCACATAAACTATATCTTTCAAAAAAAAAAAAAAGATTCCACATAGACTATGATTATAATGTTATCTCAGTATTTAGACCACATTAACATAACCTGAATTTAACAAAATATAAAAATAAATAATGTAAATCTACACTTCAGTTATACAAAAAAAATTTAACAAATTCAAACCAAATGCAAGAAAATTATTGGTAAATAAATATATTATTATAATATAGAATAACATCAAAATTTGAATTAGTGTTATAATTTTTTATTTTTCAAAAAGAAAAGTTAGGTGTTGTTTCTTAGAAAGCTAACAGAAGAATATGTATAGAGGGCCCAAAAACAGTTCTGATTCTTGATGAAAATGACAAATTCCCAGAAATTGAACATTCAAGTAATAAGAATTCATAATTCTATCAGCTATTAGAAAAAAGAAATTAAAAGAGTCAGGAGAAATTGGTGTCTAATGTACTGTCTATTGATACCATTGGCATCAAAGTCAAAGGTTATTTATCTTTAGCTTTAAATGAGGGACACTTGAATTGCATGTCATGTGATGATTTCTTCACTTTACGAGTCCCATACGAATATGAAAGCGAATCCAAATCCTTTTGAGAGATCAGTTGTAAATATTCGATATATAAAGTAAACGAAGCAAACGAAGAAAACATTGGCAGCCTTTATTTTTTAAAAATTTTGGGTTATTGTATTTCTTTTCTTATATAATTAGCTGCAGAATCACGAAAAATGGAGATGTACTCACCCAATATCTTGTATTCTCCGTCCCTTATTCAATATCTGTGTAGTTTTAGAGCATCTCCGGACATAAATTTAATAGCATGCCTTTCTCAATCACCTTGACTAAATGTCACTAATGATTCCCCAATTATTTGTTTGCGTTTTGAAAGTGATTCTCCAAGTTATATCTCCACCAATATGTAGAGGCAGAATTAGCTAATCTTTGTTGGGAGGTCAAAAACAAAAAAATAAGGGTTAAAAATTTTAAAATGTAATATATTGAATTTAACCTATAATTAAAATTGATAATAGAAAATAATTTTATATAATATGTAAATGAAGAAAAAAAAACTTACAATAATCTTTTAAGAAAATTGTCCTCAATTCTTTGAAATCAAATTCATCAATTATTAGTTATATATTAAAAAACATCTATTTCTTTAGTATTGAGTCTTGAACATTTTAATTCACATTACTCTTATTCATGAGTTAAAGCATCGAAGCTTCGTGATTCAAACGTAGCAGAATCATTTAAACGATTTACATTTTTTTAAAAGAATTTGTCGATTATTTTCAACTTATTCGCACTTTAATCAAACTTGAAAAATATTAATATAGTCAATTTTTAATATTTTTATTTTATTTTTATTTAAACTTATATTCCTAAAAATAAAACTATAATGCTTAAAATATAAATAGTTAAATAGATATATAGAATTAATAATTTTCTCCTATATAATCAATATTGTTTAAAGATTATATATTGAAAATAATCTCCTATCAACTAAATATAAAACATAAAGTATATAAAAAAGATATACTCAAAATAATTTCCTTGTACATATTTAAGATTAATAAAAAATAATATATTGATAAAATTTTAAGCAACAATGCAACACTACAACTTATATTTGAAAGTTATATAATAATTTATTAATTTTTAAAGATTAAAATCGTAGAAAATAAAATTCACCTAATAAGAAAAGAAACATGACAAGTAAAAGATAGAACTCATATATTATATAATGAAAAAAAAAGAATATTGTTGATGATTTGCAAAAATTTATGGAAGAAAATTTATAAAAATTTAGAACATATGAGCAAATAGTATAAACAAATATAAACAAAATAATAATATAAATTGAAAAAAAAATTAAATTTAAGGCATATGAGAAATTTTTATTATTTTTTATTTATATTAATTATTAAATAAAAATTATTTTGAGAGGGTCCATTGATTAAGAAATTATATTAAAAATTTTATATGATA